ATGAAACATGTCCTATTAAAAAGGAACATTCAGAAAAATGTAAAAGAAAAAGAATTCTTGGAATTTAGAAGTATGATAATAGAAATGAGAAATTCAGTAAATAGACTGGAAGAGAAACTGAGAAACTCTCCCTGAAATCAGATTAAAAGACAAATAGAAAATGGAAGAGTAGGCTTAAGAAAATTAGAGCAACACAGGAGGATCCGATACCTAAATAACAGGGTGACAAGGAAAATGAAGAGGTAGAAATCACCAATAAAAACATTCATAAAAATTTCCCAAAATTAAATGAAGACATGAATCTCTACATTGAATATGTCCAACACAATTAGTGAAAATATACTTATAATCAGCTCCTAAATATGAGATTTCAGAACGCAAAGGACAATGAGAAGATTCACAGTGTTTCCAAAGAAAGACGTCAGATTAAATATAAACAATCAAGACTGAGAAGCAGATTAAGACTTCTCTAGAAAACACAAGAAGCTAGATGAAAATGGTGTATTTCCTACAAAATTCTGAGAGAAAATAGTTTTCCTTCTAGAATTCTAGGCTCAGTCAAACTATCACTTCACTGAGACATTTTCAGAGATTCATGTTGTCCAAAATGTGTTTCCTATGTATCTTTTTTCATGTAATTACTGGAGAAGATCTTCTCTCAAAAAAAGGGGGGTAAGGGACAATTTTAAAAACTTGGAGTCCACTAGACTGGGGATCTACACATTCAAGAGGCAAAGGGAGTCCTCAGTATAAAAACAGTTGCCCTGTTTTTGTTATGTCCAAATCACAGTTCTAGCCTGTATTTCATACAGTCAGGCATATCCACCATGTCAATCATTACCTAAATACAAACCATGGACTTCTTCACACCCAATTTGCATTATGGTCACTAATACCCAGAAAGGTGAAAAGGTTGGGGTATGCGTGCAACATGGGAGTATTTTTCACAAATTATTTATGCTTTTTCTTAAAAAAAAAAAAGTCCATTTTACCATACAATGATTTAAAACACTTATGCTGTTTAAAGGAAGGATTAATCCTTGGGTCACATTTTCCTGTTTCCCCACTCCCAACTTCCCCCAAACCTGTCAAGACCTATGTAACAGAAGTAAGATCTTAAATACCTTTTGTTTGTTTTTAATAACCTCTTTATTTTGGAATATTTTTAACTTACAGAAAAGTTGCAAAAATAGCCCAGAGTTCTCTGAAAACACCTCATTCAGTGTCCCCTACAGTTAACAGTGTATAGTGATTCATTTGTCACAACTAGCGAATCAACATCAGTACTTTACCATTAAGTGAACCCCATAGTTTAGTCTGTTTCATCAATTTTTCCCTGTCCCAGGGTCACATTTCAGGATATCACCTTACATTTAGTCACCATGTCTCCTTAACCTCCTCTGGCTTGTGACAGTTTCTAGGGTTTTTCTTGTTTTTGATAACTTTGGCCAATGTGAAGAGTGTTGATAAAATATTTCATTAAGTATCCCTAAATATGGGTTTGTCTGATGTTTATTTCCATGGTTAGACTGGGGTTAGGGGTATTTGAGAAGAAGACCATGGAGGTGAGGTATCATTCTTGTCACATCATATAAGGGATACATGCTATGAATGTCACATTACTGATGCTGTGAACCAGAATGATGTGGCCCAGGTAGCATTTGCTGTATTTATCATGTAAAGTTACTTATCATTTCTCCTTCCCATACTCTACTCTTCAGAAGCAAGTCTGGAAGCATGACCCACATGCAGGGGTGAAGAACTGAGACAGGTGATGAGTATCTATATAAATCATTTAGAATTATACCCTTCTCCCTTATTTATTTTTTATTTGTTCAATTGCATCTTCTTTGTCATTTATTTCATATTTTGGATTATAATCTAATACTACCTTATTTATTTTGTTGCCTAAATTTTTCCAGATTTGTCCATTGGTGCTCTGTTAGGTTGGATCCTGTTTCCCTTTGATATGCCTCATTTTCTGTTTTCTGAGTACTTCTCTACTCGCTGGCATTACAGGATTCTCTGAGTTCATCTGGAATATTTTCTCCCTCAGCTCTATAATCAGCCATTTTCCCAAGGAGTCTTGTTCCTTTTATTAGAGAATATCATATGCTCCTAATTTATTGCTGTGATTCATTTTTTTTCTTTTTCCTTTCGGACTCTACCCCCTGTCAATTTAAGAGCTATTGGGAATATGAGAGAGAGACAAAGATTTTGATAAGTTTCCTCAGTATTAAGGTAGACTTTTACACCTCACTCTAGCTCCTTACAACACAGAGACTATATCAATTGTCCCTTATTGTAAAAGAACAGTATTAGAAATTGGAATTTTCATTATTAACCTTATATCCTCAGAAATGTTATTTAACTAACATTTTACAGTCCATCCAAAGAATGCTAAACAGATATTCCCAGAATTAGATTCCATGATATGAAGTATTTTAAGAGCAGGAATCCCATCAATACATGGGATAGTGAACTTCTTAGTCTTCGCATTTTTATTAGGAATATCTAACAGATTTTATAAATCCCATACTCTGAGTCATTCAGTGTGTGCACAGCTAGTGTCCTTTTATTTTTCTTTATACCGAAAAAAAGAAAAAGGTGTTTTCAGTCTATACATAAAATGAATAACCAACATTAGAATTGAAAAATTACTTTAGAAAGAGGCAGTTCAATTAATCTGAAATCTATACTATATAAATGTGAATTCAAAGGTAATTGTATTCTTTTCCCAAAAAGCTACATTTGCACTTACAGATATAAGGCTCAACTCAACTGTGTGTGTCAAATGACTTAATCTGGTTATTGGGCTTATGGAGGGATTTAAACATTTTAGTGAAAGGGGACAAATACGACATTCTTTTGTTTAAATTAAGTTTTGCAATTCAAAGGATTTGTTCATTTGGGCCTTCAAGTTCCTTCTTTCAACATGAGAGAGTCTTGAAGGTAGAATCATTGCTTGAAAGGCTTTTGCTTTCGCATCTAACTTTTACTTTGAAACTAACCAAAAAGAAACTAAGTGTATCAGAAGCATACCTAATCTCCTAGAAGTCAGCATTGCATCAAGTGTATTAAAATTGAAAACTACTTTTTTTTCCCTCCTCCTTAAATAGGCATCTGGTAATAAAAGGCCAATCAACTGGGTTAGGATAAAACAGGCAGTGTTTTTCCTTCACTAGTTCATTTGGAAAAGTCGCTTTGCTAATTGAGAAAAGTTTAATGAATTTTACTTGCATTAAAATAAACGTGATTGCTTCATGGCAACAATGTACTCATTTGAGAAAGTCATTACATTTATGTATTGTGTTTTCATGTAAATACTTTTGCCAAAATGTATTAGCAAGGAATATAATATTATGGTTCATGGTTCTTGTAGTATCTGAAAAGAATAATTGTATAACCAATCAATGAAAACAAAGTAAATGTTCCTCTTGGGTTTGTGCAATAAAAATGGAATTAAAATTACTCAGGCTCAAAAATGCAAATATAATGCATCTCTACAGCAGAAAAATAAAAATTTTAAGGCAGAACTTTGTCTCTTAAGGCTGGTATTTCAATTCCTCTGAAAGGCTTCCTTTGATTCCAGAATTGATCACCTCAAGATTCAGTTCCACGTGTTTTTAGAAAGTAATCAGATATTTCACTGTTTTTAAAACAAAATTCTCATTCATTCTCCTGAACGAGCTCACTGATATTCAGAACACATTCTGGGGAAAATGAATGCTAATCAGCAACCAAAATAGCACTTCCGTGTATTAGACAGTAAGGTAAGATTAAATTCACATTAAACTCAAGAGCAAATAACCCATATCAATTTAAATAGATTAAATCCTGGGAAAGGGCAAAGGTTAGAAATGATTTGAAGGGATAACCCAATTGTATTGAGAACAATAGGCCTTGTATTAGACAACAGCAGCCCCTACCGGAAGCCCGAGGCTGTCTGGCCAGCCATTCCTGGAGGCTGCAGGGGAAGACAGGCAGGGGCCAAGGAATCAGGGAGGTCGCTCAGACCTCCAGACCTGGCAGGTGGAGGCATCATCAGTCTCAGAATCATTTCTTCTCTGTTGTGTGGTCACAAACCTTACATATATCACCTAGAATTTTTATTATTTCTCATCTACAAGTCGGCAGGAAATTGATTCTGAAGGTTTTATTAGTAAATATTTAGAGTGCCTTTTTTTTAAAGAAAGCTCAAATTCTGTGATAAATACTTGATATGAAAAAGCAATATCTGTTCATGGGTGATTTTAATTAGGCTTCTTTAGGATTTCCCCCACAGTGCTCAAAATTATTCCTGTCCTTAGTAGAGAATGTTTCATAGGGTGCCTTGATCTAATGTGTGGTGGCTATACTTAATATATCTTTATACAAATACAAATACATATGTACACACATACAGCATATATATATATACATACACACATACAGTATCCATATACACATGTATATAAATACACATGTGTATATATACATGTGTACATATAGCACATGTAATATGTGTACAAATATACATGTATATATACACGCATGTATACAAATACATATGTACACACATACAGCATATATATATATACATACACACATACAGTATCCATATACACATGTATATAAATACACATGTGTATATATACATGTGTACATATAGCACATGTAATATGTGTACAAATATACATGTATATATACACGCATGTATACAAATACATATGTACACATACAGTATGTATATACACACACGCATGCACACACACACACTGCGTGAAATCTGTGGTTCAAAGTGGACCCTAGAGAGGCCTTGGTAAGATGGCAACCTTTCACCATCAATTTGTCCTTTAGGGTTCAGGTTTACAGCTTTTTTTCTATGTTATTCTTTGGGTGAGTAAACATCCTTAGCGATGGCAAGAAATATGAAAACTTCTGAGAATAATAAAAGGCAACATTTGACAAACAGACTAGCCATATATAAAACATACTCTTTTTAAAATTAGTGTAGGAGGGCCTGGGTGGCTCAGTTGGTTGAGCGTCTGACTTCGGCTCAGGTCATGATCTTGCAGTGCACGGGTTCAAGTCCCGCTTCAGGCTCCCTGCTGACAGCTCAGAGCCTGGAGCCTGCTTCAAATTCTGTCTCCTCTCTCTGTCTTTGCCCCTCCCCCACTCATGCTCGCTGCTCTCTCTCTCTCTCTCAAAAGTAAACATTAAAAATTTTTTAAAAATAAAATTAAATTAATGTAAAATACCCAACACGTATTTTGAGTTCAACAATTCAAATAAATCAAATATTTTTAAACTAGGTTATGTTGTATAATTAAAGGACACCTCAGTCAAGCTGACTTGCTAAACATGTTTAAATGCCATAAGCAGTAAGTACAGAAATCAGACAAACTGAAGACAAATCAGGGGAAATCATGTTAGCAGATGGGAGCAGATACACAGAGTAACTAGGGAAAAAAAGGAAACAGAAGCGAGCACTAACACCAGGTTTGGCTTGAAAAGAAGCCTAAAGTATTATGAAAAATGATCATGGAAACAACTCTCATCTTTGCATTTTATTTTTTGAACACCCACCCCACCACCTCCAGAACCAAATGCTTTAGTTCCATGACTAACCTGTGAATTCTGTTTATAAAAACCTATCAGAGAGGCGCATACCCCAACCAAAGCGATCCTATCTCAGAGACCGTGTTCATGCCCCCAGACAAACGAGGTGACTTTGCTCTCCTCAGAATTTTTGAAGTGTGTGGAGGAGGCCAGGGGCAGCTGACGTGGAAGGTGCTCCGTTTAATTTTCCTGCCTGAAATATGGAGTAAATTCGTTTCAGAAAGGAGTTAAGTGTCAATTGGGAGTTATCTGCAGATGGGAATGTTCATTTTCTGAGGCAAGAGGCACTCAACACATTTCTCAAAAACACAAAATCAGAAGTATATGAAATTACAGGTGACTGAGGGAAGCAGCTTAGTAGTTGGAAAAAAACAGGAGTCAGGACAGAGGAGCCCAGAATCCTAACCCAGCTTGGCCCTGCTGTGTGCCCTTGAGTGTCGTTTAACCTCTCTGTGCCTTAGTTTCTTCATCTGTCAAAATGAAGACCTCTGTTTCCCAGCTTTCATTGCAAAAGAAATTTTCATGAGGGTACAGTGTTCATTCACACAAGACTTGATCTAGCAGCACTTCATAGACTCATCATCGGTCAAGAAGACAATCGGTTCACAGCATCGAAGAACTACAGTTAATGGTGCGTCTTCCCTGGGTTCACTCCTTCATTTATTTATTCTTCAATAGGTATTTTTTAAGGGTCTACTATGTGTCAGACTCCAAATCAGGGAATGGAATACAAATCTGAACAAGATCCCATCTCTTTCCTCAAAGAACTTGCAGCTTAGTAAGGAAAAAAGACAAATAGATGTATTTTCACAGCATAGCATGGCGAGTCCTTCACTACCATAGACCACAGTGCTGTGAGAACGTGTCTGGGGGCTCTCAACCGGGCAGTCATGGGTGAAAACGGTCACCCAAGGATGTGTGGAGCAACAACACCCAATTCCCACCTTAAACTGTGAACAGGCGTTAGCCATGGGGTGGGGGTGGGGAAGTATTTAAAGGTATTTTAAGCAAAATGAACAGCCTAGAGCATGGAGAGAACACAGTTCAGGCAACTGCAGGCTGTTCAATGTGGCTGGAGGCAAGAATGTGTTCAGAGAAGGGGCTGCAGAGGGAGTGGAAATGTCCCTAAGGTGCTGAAGGAGAAAGCTCATTCCGCCTGGGGTGAGGGTGGGCATAGGGACTGGATGGAACAGATTGGAGGCTCTTTTAAGACTGGCTGCAAGAAGACCAGTTAAGAGTTTGTGATAAAGAATTGCCCCAAGGCCACAGCAACAGAAATAGAAGAGAAGAAATTTGCAAGTCTTTATAAAGTAGAATTAATAGGGTTTAGTGACCGATTGTGTTGGGGGTGAGAGAGAGGGAGGTGTTGAGGATGACTTCCATATTTCTGGCTTGGATGGCTGAACACCAACAACAATGCTGAATAATCGATTTGGGCAGGAGGTAAGTGGGATGGGGGGGGTGAAGAATTCTATCTGGGCCACTGGTTGATGACGAATTCAGATGGAGATGTCTATAAAACTTCTATGGGATAAAGAAGAGATTAGAGTCAGAGATAAAGATTTGGGAGTTGTCTGAAGCTTTGTCCAGCATAATGTATCTGTTTTCGTCCTTCCGCCACCCACTTGCCCAATTAAATACTGAAAAATCTTGTGGAAGGATTCTGATTGGCCATAGTCCAACCCTATGCCCAAGAGGGTAGGTTGACTTGATTGACAGCCTCTATTGGGGCCATTTCCTTGGAAGGATTATTTCCCAAAGGGTATAAGAGTACTGTGCAAAGCAACAAATGTTGCAACAAATGTTCCCCAGTCCACTGATTTAGTATTCAATAAATATTTGTCAGGCAAATGATATTTTCAACAGACATCCATAGCCTTTAAATTCTCTTTCTGTAAGCATTTTAATAAATAGACTGAAACCTTTTAATCCTCTCTTGACAAAATGCCCAACCAACAGGGACCATTGAAGAAGATGGTGATGATGAAGTGACCCAGTTACTCCTAGAGTTAAGTACGTCACATCTACATAAAATGAACATGAACAGCTATCGAAGGAAATAAACCAAGGTATTGTAAATATGTGACCTAAATCCCCACAGTTAGGAACCACTACAATTCCAATCAAGGTCATCTGGAAATTGTGTTTGGAAGGGATAAACTTGTACAGTGAATTCATTATATGGTATCAGAACTGGAAATAGAGTGTATCAACTGTTTAGGAAAGAAAGTGACCTCTGTGAATACCAAGGCTCCATACACACTTACATTTTACCTGCTCATTTGACTATTAGAAGAGAATGTACTAGTTTTGTAGCTAAAAACCCACCATCTTCCTAGCAGTTATATTTCTCGTTGCCAATCAGAAATTTTGTATTAATGTGGCGATGTGTGTCAAGAGTAGCTCTAAGTACTTCATGGAGGTACAAAAAAAAAAATGTATGCAAAATTCCATGAAATGTTATTTGTAACAATGTGCTGTTTGACAAACTGAATGTTTGTCTTTCCAAAATTCTAATGTTGAAACCCTAATCAGGGGTGCAATGGTATTTGGAGGTGGAGCCTCTGGGAGGTGAATAGGTCATAAGGATGGAGTCCTTGTGAGAAAGGACTAGGCTCTCACCAGACGCTTGGTCTGTGGACATTTTGATAGTGGACGTCCCAACTCCCACAACTGTGAGAAATAATATTTGTTAAGTCTTTGGTAATTTATTATAGCAGCCCAAGCTAACTAAGACAGTGAAGAACTTAACTTAGACATTCAACATGCAATAATAGAATGTGACCCCAGGTGGTAAAAACATAAATGAAGAGACTGAAGAGCTCTGCATCCACACAACAACAGACAGAATCAGGTGTCTTTTTTAATAATCTGCTTTGTTCTTTGAAGCATTTAAATTTTTTCTACGGAGAACATATATTTTATAATTGAGACATTTTCTTTCCCTATTAATTCCTAAGAAGAGACTTCAATATTATTGTATTAAGTCTACAGAATCTTCTTTAGATTTTATTATTTTGAGAATGTAGAAGCTCTTATGTTGAATTTTTAGAGAAAATACAGTTAGACTATCTCTTCGGTTTACTGAAGACTTAATTTGTCATTCTGCCTGCACATATTTGGTCCTTCATTCAAAACAGAACCAACAGAGCGACATCAGCCCAATTTTGCTTCATTGCCATAGCAACATAATTGTGACAAAAGCACACAGCCCTTTCTCTCCCTCTCACATATGTGCCTTCTTATTGTTTCTTTCTCATCTACTTTCATTCATTGCCATTTTCTTCCATCATTTTTTTTCACCCTTTTTCATATATTGGTTCCTTCTTCCCCAAAAAGTTTATGTATGGCAAAATAAAAAGAGTCCATGTGACTAATCAAAATGCCCTAAATTCTAAATGCCAACTTTGTTTTCTCTGTTTTATATTCTGCAGGGATCCTCCTCATTAACCCTAAGTAAGGAACATTCTATATTTTTCCTGGGAAGCCTATCTAATGGAAATAGTTTTAATATTCAGAATTTAATTCAAATTAACTCTTTTTTTAAATTGTTTTAATGTTTATTATTATTGAGACAGAGAGAAACACAGCATGAGTGGGGGAGGAGCAGAGAGAGAGAGGGAGACACAGAATCCGAAACAGGCTTCAGGCTCTGAGCTGTCAGCACAGAGCCCGACGCAGGGCTCGAACCCACAAACTGTGAGATCATGACCTGAGCCGAAGTTGGACGCTCAACTGACTGAGCCACCCAGGTACCCCTCAAATTAACTCTTAAGTAGAAGGAGAGAATACATATGGGGGAGCTGTTAGCAGTAACTGGGTTTGATTGAACTTTGTTCCTCTCCCCACAAATACACAATAAATTCACTCTTTATTTGGGAAGCTGTGAAGAGATGAAACTGTAATAAGAGCCATCACAGATAGATATTTCCACTGCACTTAAAATCAGAAATGTGAACACTGTTGTACTACATACAGAAGGGGGACACCTGGGTGGCTTAGTCGGTTGAGTGTCCGACTTCCAATCAGGTCATGATCTCACAGTTTGTGAGTTCTAGCCCTGCGTTGGGCTTGCTGTTGTCAGTGCAGAACCTGCTTTGGATTCTCTGTTCCCCTGTCTCTGACCCTTCCCCCTACCTGCATTTTCTCTGTCTCAAAAATAAATAAATGTTAAAGGAGGAGGAGGAGGAGAAGAAGAAGGAGAAGAGTGTGAAGGTGACCTTGCCTACCACATCCACCCTGGGCCCCTCCTTTTCCTGTGCCTCTTCCAACCTCTTATGAGTTCTAACTTCTGTCAGGTGTCTGCTCTCTTTCTGGAAGCCATATCTTTTGGGAGACGATAACCCTAGCCCCAAACTTAGGTGGTGAATCCTGACTATACAGCTAATTATGATGGTACTCTTCCTTTGCCAGGATTGACCTAGGCATGGTCTTGCAATGCTTTTCTGTCCAATAAGACATAAGGGGAAGTCTGCTGGTGGCTT